TTTTAGGATTTTTAGGATGTTCTAGATGGGTACAAATGGAGGATGCTCAAATAAAGTCACTGTATACAATAGAAAAATATAAGTTTAATAATGAATATGCAAATTATATAGGGATAGAATATAAAATAGACTCAGATCAATAATTCCCAGAGCTCTACAACAAAACCAATCACAGAAAATCACATTTTGTGATTATTTGTGCTCCTAAAAAATCTGCAGATAATCACGTCCCGTAATTCCGTGTGTTCCTAAAAATGCAAATTTAATAATGAATATGCAAATGCTATAAGGATAGAATACAAAATTCGTTCAGATTTGTTGCTCTACCATCAAACCATGTGCAGAAAATCACATTTTGTGATTATTTGTGTTCCTAAATATCTGCGGGTAATCACATCCCGTAATTCCGTGTATTCCCAAAAATGCAAATTTAATAATGAATATGCAAATGCTATAAGGATAGAATACAAAATTCGTTCAGATTTGGCGCTCTACCACCAAACCCCGCGCAGAAAATCACATTTTGTGATTCCGTGTGTTCCTAAAAAATCTGCGGGTAATCACATTTTGTGATTCAGTGTGTTCCCAAAAATGCAAATTTAATAATTATATGCAAATTATACAAGGATAGAATACAAAGTTCGTTCAGATTTGGGTCTGCAGCGAAGATTCCCTACGCTCTACCATCAAACCATGTGCAGAAAACCACATTTTGTGATTCCGTGTGTTCCTAAAAAATCTGCGGGTAATCACATTTTGTGACTCCGTGTATTCCCAAAAATGCAAATTTAATAATGAATATGCAAATGATATAAGGATAGAATAGAAAATTCGTTCAGATTTGGGTCTGTACCAATAACTCCCTGCTCTCTACCATCAAACCATGTGCAGAAAATCACATTTTGTGATTCCGTGTGTTCCTAAAAAATCTGCGGGTAATCACATCCCGTAATTCCGTGTATACCCAAAAATGCAAATTTAATAATTATATGCAAATGCTATAAGGATAGAATACAAAATTCGTTCAGATTTGTTGCTCTACCACCAAACCCCGCGCAGAAAACCACATTTTACCACCGCGCGCCCCCCTTAAACAATCCCAATCTCACCACCCGCGCTCGAACGAACGATTAATTCTCGTCGGGCATGCAAATGAGCCCCTAATTAAAACAACCTTGTACTCCTCGCACGCCTCGTCCACGGGCAGCACGGCGTGCTCGCGGTGCTGGCGGGAGCGGTCGCACACCACGCAGATGCAGCCGCGGTCATCCTTGCAGAAAAGCTTCAGCGGCTCGCCGTGCTTGGGGCACAAACCTTCCTCTTCTTCCTCCTCCTCTTTTTCCTCTTTTTCCTCTTTTTCCTCTTTTTCCTCTTTTTCTCCCTGCCCTTTCCTCG